ACCTTCGCTCATCTTGCCATATCTCCTTTGGTACCCCAACAGTCAACTTTGTGTATGGTATTCCTTGAGGAGGAGGTGCAGATGAGGATGAACTAAAAAGTCTTCCATGCCAAGATCGTGGCAGCGACTTGCGGACCCTAAGTACTCTTACACAGCCACACATTCTAACTCTTTAATCTGTAAATGGGTTAAAATTATAATTTCAAAAAACCCAATATCATCATCATTAAAAACAGCCCGTATGGGAAACATTCATACGAATATATAATAAAGTTCCTGAAGATATTTTAGCCTATCCGACGAACAATTCAAAAATTACGTTATAAAGTGTAATTTATGTTCCAAAATTATTTATTATAGAACATTGATAACAAAGGAGCACATCGTCCACCTGATGGTAAGTGGATGCTGTGGCTCATAAAAATCTACATCTGTTCTCGATTAAGAATCAAAATGCAGATGCGTTGTCACCCGTGAGGACTGAGATGGAATGCCTCGTTTGCAGTAAAAAGTTACGTGGGTTACGTGGTAGATCCATGCTGCAGGTACATTTGTAGTATAGTTGTAGCACGAATGGGTCGGTTCGACCGGGGAGGCACCACGCTCTCACAGAATACCAGCGTCAAATAGGAGCTTAATGCTGCTGTGTTTCGTATGGTGAGTGTAGAGAACCGGAGACCCTTTTTACTGGAAACGAGGCATTCCACCTAAGTCCACACGGATGACAACGCATCTGTATTTTGATTCGTAATCGAGGATAGATGTATATGCCTATGGGCCACAGCAACCACATACCATCAGGATGAGGTGGACTGTGTGCTCGTTTGTCATCCTATCCTATAAAATAAAAAAAATATCTCCGGTTCTCTACACTCACCATAAGAAACACAGCAGCATTAAGCATTTTACGCTGATATTCTGTGAGAGCCTGGTCCTTTCCCGGTCGAGCCGACCCATTCGTGCTACAACCATAATATAACTGCAGCATGGGTCTACCACGTATAACAATATTCAAAATGAATATTTTGATGACTAATGAGCAGTCAATTTAATACCAAGCTTTATAAAGCGACTTAACTATATGTAGTAAGTGGTACCTAAGTGGTAGAATTAATTTTCCGCCTAGTTCGTTATGCACTGATGCGATTCAAATCGTTAAGGTCCTTTTTTTAGTGGACATGTTTCAGTTATTGATGTTTTTTCTTTGTTTTCTATTTGTACATTATACTATGCTATTGTAGGTAATATTACTAATTAACTTTAACAAAATGCCAAAAAAGAGGATACCTGCGAAGTTTCTTTCGCAGTTTCTTCTCCAGCCAGAGGAAACTCAATTTGAAACGGTAGTAGAATATAAGTTCCAAAAATTCAAAATAACAAATGAAATTTTATTTTCTGACGTAGAAGAAATAAATATATTTAATTTCATTTAGGCAGGATCGGACTTACTCGTAACGCTTGTTAGGTGCCAGTGCGCTTGCCAATCGTAGCAACTATGGCAAATATATCTCCTATGAGCGGCAGATGCGCGGAGCCTTTGGCAGTGGCCTTTGGATAGGCTGTAATGAGACCTGTGCATTTTACAGCTCACCTAAACTATAGATGGTTATACCGCCATCTCTAGCTTATTCAATGAGATTTTTTGGCATTTCCCATAGTTGCTTCTTACGACAACACGCTAAAAAACTCAAAAGTATTGTATTGTAATATAAATGGGGGAAACATAAATTTAAACGTATCATAAAATTTGAAATTTCTTAAACATATATTGTGAGCCAGAGACTATCAGTCATATCAAATAAAGAAAATGGGGTGCAGTAAATTGCGACCTGTAATAGCTAGACTAATCTCTACTTCATTGTCATCACAAAATGGAGAAAAGGAAGAACCGGTAAAAGTAGACAAATTATACGCAGTCTAAGATTATAGTTTTATCATATACTTGAAATATATTTCGTCGGCTCGACCATGGAAGGACCACGCTATTACAGAATACCAGCATAAAATAGCAGCTTATTACTGCTGTGTTTCGTATGGTTAGTGTGGAGAACATTTTTACTGCAAAAGAAGCATTCCTCCGTAGACCTCAGGGGTGCCAACGCATCTGCATTTTGATTCATAATCGAGGATAAATGTAAATATCTATGGGCCATATAGGGCCACAGCATCCATTTACCATCAGGTAGACTGTGCTCGTTTGTTACCCCCATTCTATATGAAAAAAAACTTTTTACGACTTACTTTTGCACTTATTGTTAAAATATTAACAAAAGTTTATCCCTGTGTCATAAAAGGAATGAATTTAATTCTTTAAATGTATAGACTCATAAGCTTTTTCCGCGAAAGATTAGAAATTTTTACCTGCGTTGGTCTTCAACAACAGTACTAAACACCTCCAAAAATACTAGAACGGGACTCTCTTTATGATAAGAATAAAGGGACATTTTTCTAACATTGTAAGCAATCAGGAACTCCGGGACCCTATACTCCTATCTTCTTGCTTTGGCCTATTAAAATTTAAGCTATGGCCTATTAAATATAAAAAATCCAACACTTTATTTCATCCCGTGTATTTTGAACTAAAATATATGTAACTTTGTTTTTAAACACCACATAATTATAACGAAATGACGTAATAATAATCTTGAGAGGAATAATTACATTTATCATCATTACAGCTTATCAAAGGTTAACAGCTGAACACGGGTCTCCCTCATAGAATGCCATATGCCAGGCTTGGTAGGGTATTTTATCATTTTAAGTTGTTATCAGGAAGGTACAGCTGCCGATATCGTGTTTCAGTTTCTCCCTGTCGCCTCTTACAAAACCCACGAGATGATATAGGGTAGTGAATTCTTTTACACCGCCACCCGCCACTATACAGCTAATTCCTCTATTATGTTTAGGGCTAAAACGAATTAAGTGAGTTTTGATGAAATATTTTTTAATCCCTAAAATAATATGTGTAACTTATAGATATAAACATAAAAAGATACGGTATTGACCAAATTATATAAGAAATAGAAAAGTGGAATACGCACAATATGTACGAAATAATGAAACCGCAAGACACATTACGATCATAGTGTCCCTTACCCCGATTCCACAATGATATGAGTTGTCAATTTTATTCCGTTAAATTTTACATTTTTTAATAAAAAAAAAACAAGTTTTTACACATGGAAAGTGACTCCGAAAGAGTGTGTCTCCGTAAGTGCCTGAATTATTGGAACATTTGTAAAATGAGTAGGATGGCATTTCGATTACAGTTATTAAATACTAATGTCGACAAAAATAAGTACCTAATGTCGACAGTAACCCATTGTTTTACTCTTGTTACGTAGTGCAAAAGTGCTTCAGTTAGATGTAGTTTTTGTGGTTCTCTATTGTTTATGTCCTATCAGGTATTTAGTTATTACATTTAAAAAAGGGATACCTACCACATTTGCAAAATATATTTATTTTTAAATTATCGTTTTTAAGTTGACTATATTTAGATACCTACCTACTTCAATTATCGCACAAATTTCGTATAATAACGATAACATGAATACATTCAGATAACCATAACAAAAAATACACAAATCTATCGAGGGAATACATGTAGAGCTCGTGAGCAGTGAAAACACCATAGAACTGCAGGCTAATTTGATTAATACACTTAGGGTTAGGCATATATAACTATTGAAAATAAATAAAGTTAATGCCTGCATATGTATATCCCTCAGCTGGGAACCGGTTTGTTCTCTTTTTTTTTAGGTATGTGTTTCTACACATACCTATTACTTATAATAACTAAGTTTAAGGGTAAAAACAATGAACAATAAATAATATTTATGTCTTAGTTTTTACATAGTCTAGTTATATTAAGAATTGCTAATCCAATTCTTTTATCGATTCGCCATAATAATTCACTTACTAATACAGGCCACTAATGAGAAAAAGAGTGAAATTATTATATTGCCTTGTCGTACACGTAAGAGAACGAAATTACAGAATGTAACCAAGGAACAACCGTGCCGTGTTGTTTACGTGTAGCATGCAATTATGGTATCAATGTTGTTAAAAATGAATGCATCTTGATTACCATAATACCAGTATTGTTATTTAAATTTCACTTAATATTATTAAGAGTTGATAGTGTAATATGAACATATGCCCCTTTGCCAACATTGCTGTAATTCGAATTTCGTTAATCATCTTACCTTTAATTCTTCTAATTCACAACATTTGTTTCTTCTTTCATTTAGTTATATATTTATATATATATAAAACAGAATATTTTTTTGATATCTCAAAATGAACTTTTAAACGGCGTGATACAAGCGTGTGGAACGATGGTGGTCCGCACTCCGCAACACTAAACTGTCTGTCTGTGAAGCGTGTGAACAATGAACAGTGAACGCAATGACCTCACTAGTTTGATGAAAAGAGAAGTCAAGCGTGCGAGCAACGGGCGTCGAAACGAACCAACAAATATTTTCAGTTTCACCTCGAGCGGTAAGAAGCCGGCCGGCTTCTTTGACAAAATAAGTAGCGTCGTGTCACGTTGCTTGCAAGCAACCGTTTTCTTGCGTTTTCTTTTCTCTACCGCAGTGAAGTGTGTTCTTGGCTGTTATCCTTATATGTTATAAGGTTAGGTTATATCGAGTTTTACACAAAAAATAAATAGTATGTTTGCTTAATTTTGATAATAATATAATTAACAAATATTCATTATAGTTTTGCTTTATCTTAAAAAATACAAAGTTAAGTAATTAATGTGTAACGTCTTTATTGACAGTTACAATTTAAAATTAACCTATTCCATTAAATTTTAAACCTTTTTTTTTACAATTACACGTCACATAAAGGATAAGAGATTGTCGGCGGCAGCTAGATGACACGTTTACTTATCAGTAATCACACAAAGCTAAATAATAGTGATTGAACTATATTTTATGTAACTTTGTTTATTTTTTTTTTGCAGTCCTGTCATAGACAAACAGTACAAATAAAATATGGTCAGCAAAAATGTAAAGCAGCTTTTCCAATATCTTACAGAAAAAAACATTTCACTACGAAATTGTAAGTACCTATATTGTAGAATATTTATTTATTTTTAGAGCAATTCCTTCCTATTTACTTATTTAGCTCGTATTTATTTCGATGTAAAAATAAAATAATTTAAAAATCAACTTACTGTAATGACAATAGAATATATTACATATACATTTCTTTCTTTTAAAATTCAAGCGTGTTTTTCAATTTAAGTATTTTAGCATATTTTAGGGGGCTATAATAAAAATTATTTATACTCATTTATATTTAAAATATCGAAGAAGTTTTATTTAATAATTTTACCACATTTTTATTCGTTACGGAGATATAATTAATTAATATTTTAAACTTAAATTATATATTAAAAAAAGTAAATTTATAGCACCAATCAATTTTAAAAGTATGATAACCAGCCAGTACATACTAGATATAGGCATATTAATACCTACTTATGAATATTGAATGTCAATTGCTCCCAATCAGTTGTTTTGTCAAAAATGTATATTACACACATACACTGTGTCAATAGTCTTCATACTTCATTTTCATAGCAAACTTAAAAAGTATAATAGCAGCATTTTTAAGATTTTGTCTTCATGATGAGAAAAACAACTTCGCCCAATTGTGGAGACTGAGGAGTTATATAAGACCTACACCATTCATTGAGTCTGTTAGAAGTCATTTAATAAGGGTCTTAAATTCGAACAGAACTGATATAGGTACATTTCATTATATATTTTTATCCCAACCAAATGCCAACGATGCGAAAGATCTGTTCAAATCCATGGTCCAAATAGAATAACAATAAAGGTTATATGAGTCAGTGATGTAAGTTAGGGTGTGATAGGACTGGCATATGTAAAGTGGTAAAAGTCCCTGAAGTGTTTATAGAATAAAAAACTAAGCTATTTAAAAACTAAGTAAGTAAAAATTACATGTACTGAAATCCTTAAATTTTGTTATATTTAAGACTTTGTTTTAGATGGAACAGCGAAACGTGTTGTGGCAGCAAAGCCTGTTGTGGAGATGGATGGAGATGAGATGACACGTATTATTTGGGAGAAAATTAAGGAGAAACTTATTTTTCCATATGTGAAGGTGATTATAAATACATCAACATTGTGTGCATTTTGTTATCAATTTCTTTCACAAAAAAAATTATGGATCGAAGCTAACAGTTAGCAGAATGTTGTTTTTAGTGAATAATATAGTTGTGATCAGATACAATTATCACTGGTTGAAAAATTTGCCAATTATCTATTTGACATTGCATTCAAACAAAATTTCTTCTCTAATCTTTTTTGGCACTTGGTGGTATATAAAATACGAGATAAGATTATTCATGTATTTAAAAAAAAAATTATCTTGTGTTTGGTTATTGACTTAAACATTTTATTCATAATTTTTTGAAGGTTCCTTACAATTTAATTTTATTGTTACATCATATGTTTTAGTATAGACTCATCATTGCAAATACATACATTTTGTGACAATGTAAATGTCAATCTAACTTCTCCTATGAATGATCTTGTATGGATTACTAAAGAGAAAAAATATTAAACTTCGCTTTACATTTCTTCAAAAAAAAAATCACAGCATGAAAATTTATTATCTGCATAAATGTACAGAATAAAAATTACTTTAAAAAAATATTTAGGTATTTACGTGGCATCGTAAGAGACTCAGTCACCTAATTTCGTAATATGGATGTTATAATAGGCGAGTGTGAAAATTCCTGAATAATCTAATGGCTTCTGATAGAATCATATTTACACTCATATAATACTCAGGCATTAGCAACGTCAATGATGTGAGATCGGCCACAATGGTAGGGGAGACTTGTCCAGAGTAGACCTTTACAGGCTGATATAGAAGGAGATTTACATATCTGGAGGTGTAAGGGAGAATATGTCAACTTCTCATTCAAACAACAAGCCCATTCTAACCAGGGTGCACCCTACTGACTGACAGACGAAACTCTGGAAACCATCTGATAGCAAATAATCGACAGTAGCCCTAATGGCAGTATGCAGACCACAAACTCAAAAGATTGTCAGTTTGAGTCCAGCATTCGACTACTGGTGTGAAACACTCCTAACGCAATTTAAGCTTACCAGGAATGGTTAAGGGGAATATTAACAATATTAATAGCATTTTTTTCACAATCAAAAATACTAAAACCAACTCTTAGAAACTGGTGATGTAAAGCGAACACTGGTGAAATCTGCGCTCAGCATGCTCAGCAACTTAACTGCCCAGCGTTCTGTCAATATAGGCAATGTTCCAAGTTATGCATGATAGCTGGTATGTTCTTGGCAAAGCCTTTTTTCAGCAATAGAAGACTTAAAGAGCTGTTCATATGATTTGTTTAATATATGATTTAGTAACTATTTTTGTTTTCCAAAACAGAGCCATAAGGGAATCTCTCGGAGAATAATTCAAAGAAATATATACATATATAAACTTTTTGCTCTCAATATATATGTATATATAAATTTTAATGTATGTTAACAAAAACAAAAGTATAGTTTTAATACAAGTGGTAAAATCAAACATTTTGTACAACCGACTTCAATATAAATAAAATGAGAACATCATCAATGTAGTTGAAGTTAATTAAACACATTATTAAGGATAACTCTAAAACTACTAGTCAGATCGTGACCAAATTTATATGGAGCCACACGAGATGTACCAGCTTTCAAAAAAAAAAGTGAAATTGAGAACCTCCTCCCTTTTTTGAAGACGGTTTAAAAAGAGTGATAAACACTCTTAAACATCAGAAACAAACACAAACTATTGATGCCAGTTACTTAACTCCAGGATCAGTAATTCATTCATGGGACAATGTACAGTACACAAAAAAAAACTAAAAATAATTTTGAAAACGGCCTGCTGGGTTTCTTGCTGGTTCTTCCCAGGACAGAGGTGTTTTTGTACCAGTGGTAAAATGAGAAATGACTTTCAATAAGAATTACGTGTAATCTATTTTGAATAAAAAAATAATTCTGTTCAACAAAGTCCCAAAAATATACAAGGTATCTTAGGAAAGTTTAATTTTTTTATCAAAGACTTTAAAGAAAGGGTTATTTATTACCTTCAATCAATGGTACAGATGATCGAAGTTTATCACATTAATCCATCATTTCTATTTATCTATTTATTTATCATTCACCCGCTCTCATAATATAGCAGTGTATCTGAATCATCAAATAATTTGGTTCAGCATTCAATGTTTGTTGCAAAATTGCACTGGTAGAGTTAATTTCAATGTTTTTGTCATGTACCTATAATATAATATCCATTTTATTTAGCTTAATGGCAAAACTTATTTCATCAATTCCAAAATATCATTTGTAAACTGAATAATAATTAGATTACCATAACATTTTTTTTATGGAATAAGGGTGATGTACGAGCACACAGTCCACTTGATGGTAAGCGGGTGCTATGACCTATAGACATTTATTAAATGCAGATGCATTGTCACCCTTGAAGACTACAAGAGAATCCCTCATTTCCAGTAAACAGGGTCTCCGGTTCTCTAAACTTACATAGCTAATGTACGAAACACAGCAACATTAAGCTGCTATTTTATTCTGGTTTTCTGTGAGTGTGGTCCTTCCACAGTCAGGCTGACCCATTCGTGCTACAACCAGTATATAGCTGCAGCGTGGCTCTACCATGTGTATCCTTAATTATGAATCAAAATGCAGTTGCATTGTCACCTCTGAAGATTAAGATGGAATGCTTCATTTCCAGTAAAAAGGGTCTTCTGTTCTCTACCCTCACTATAAAAAACACAACAGCATCAAGCTGCTATTTTATGCTGGTATTCTGTGAGAGTATGGTCCTACCTTGGTCGAGCCAACCCATTTAAGCTAAAATCATAATATAGCTGGAGTGTAGCTCTATTACATATATTACATAATATACATATCAAATATTACATAAAAAGTACATAACAAACATGATGAATTTAAGCTTTTTTTAGTAATTGAATGTTATTAAAATATTATATTTAAATAAATATTATACAAAAATATTCCAAACAATTCTCAACACATGAACAGGTTAAAGAACACATCCCTCAATTAAGGATCAAATGCAGATGTATTGTCAAGGACTGGAATGGACTGGATGGAATGCTTCATTTCTAGTGAAAAGGGTCTATAGTTCTTTACACTCACACAATTCAAAACAAAGCAGCATTATGCTAATTTTTCACACTAGTATTGCTTAACCCCTGCAATGTCGCGGCCATTTTGGCCAATATGGCACATCTGTCAAGCGCTTCCACTGATTAAGTACTTCCAGACTACTTCTGCTGTTCATTAAAATTACTATTTCCAAGACATTTCTTATAAAAGGTATATTAAAATCATATATCAATGGAAACTTTATTAAATAAGCTGTCACATTATGTATAATTAGAATACAGGTTTACTTCCAAAGCTATACTAATTTGAAAGTGAAAGTAAGAAAAGTGTTTTTTTTCGCCAATTTTTTGCAAATGTGTAATAATAAATTAAAGCATTTATTCCAAGTACTATTTGCTTTACTTGTATGTCAAAAGCTTATTTAACTATAAATAATTAAAACAAAAAAACTTTTTCATACATTTTTTGTTTACAACAGGGTTGATAAGGGCCTCACTTAGCTCTACTCGACATCGGGACAAAAAATAGGGAGGTTTACAAAAAAAAAACACATTATTAAATCAAATGCAGACAAAATCAATCATGCAGATATATATGTTATATATATGTATGTTATATATATGTATGTTATATATATGTCTGTTATATATATGTTACAAATAGTTTGCTATCACTCGATGAGATATTATGGTGTTTCACAGATTCACATATAATTTAAGACGCCAGAATATGGCATTTGAACAGATGAGGGGTTAACTGATTAAGACAACCAATTTATGGTACAACCTCAACATAGGTTTTGCTTTACCTTGTAAATGTGAAAAAGATGGAAGGGACTAGAAATGGAAATAGTTATTACTGGTCATATACTGCAGGCCAGATATTAGATGAAGTAAGCAAATCCTAAGGTGGTAGTCTCCACCTTAGGATTTGCTTACTTAGGCAAATTTAGTAAATAATATACTCCTGCTAGATAGCACAAAAATATTAGGTTAGGCAGATAGTGTTTTATTGTGCAATTTGGGATATGCTATCATTATACAACTAAAATAATTCAGTATAATACAAAATCATATCATAAATTTTAGAAAAGAATTAAAATATATTTATTATTACCTGATAACTCTGCGATACATCTGTGATCATTAAGCATTATATTGAATGAAACTAGTTTTTATTGATTTTTCACATTTATGTGACTCAATATAATATATTCCCGACATTTCAAGTACTTTAAAGCACTCCCGGTCATGGGGAACTGGAAATAGAACAGAATAATTTTTATTCAATCACATGTAATTCTTATTGAGTAATTTTTTACTCTACCACTAGTTTGGAAAAAAAACTGTCCTTGGAAGAACCAGCAAGAAAACTAAGTAAATTTTACAATATGAAAGGTTGACCACCTCATTCCCAGGGGTTGTTATCAATCATGTATTCATTTAAATCATACCTACTAACCCTTTTAACACAGTTTTTGTTTAATAAAATATTTAAACTTGGTGTAATAGAGGGACCTTGTGTAATTTCTGGGACTTTGTTGTAATAGTGTTTGCATTGCCCAAAGAATGAATTACTGATTTCTGTGGAGTCATGAAACTGCCATCACGAGCTTGTGCTTGTTCCTAGTGATTACAGTGTATATCACTTTATTTACTAAAACTACTTTTGTAAACATAATTACATTAAATTTTCGTAAATATACTGAGAGGCCTAAGTTAAATATATTTATTTCTTTAAATTTTCTCTAAGAGACTCTCGGTTTTAGGTTGTAAACAGCTTTTATGGCCCTTTTCTGCTTAACAAAGATGTAATTTTCGCCTAAACTTAAGAATTCATTAGGTATTAAACCATTAGAATTGCAAATGGAGCAATTGTGTATACGACCATTTAATTTAATAAAATAATATTTTCGGGCACCTGATTATTGTAAGAATA